TTCCTGCCTAACTAACTTGCTAACTTTTTATGAGGGGGTAAGTAGAGATATGGACAGAGGTAAGCCGGTAGATGTGGTATATCTGGATTTCGCAAAGGCATTTGATACAGTACCACACAAGCGCTTGCTACACAAGCTGAGGGCTATGGGCATAGATGAGGTGGTGTGTACGTGGATAGAGAACTGGCCACGGGAACGGGTGCAGAGGGTATCTTGTAAATGGCACCTTTTCAGACTGGGCTAGTGTAATGAGCGGTGTGCCTCAGGGTTCTGTGCTGGGTCCCATATTGTTCAACTTATTTATTAATGACATCGGGGAGGGTGTTAACAGCGATATTTCCGTGTTTGCGGATGACACCAAAATTGGGAGGGTAATAGACACGGACTTAGACATTATAACATTACAGGAGGACCTGGATAAATTAGGGGAGTGGGCAACAATGAGGTTTAATGTCGATAAGTTCAAAGTAATGCACTTTGGAATTAAAAATAAACAAAAGGGTTATACAATTATGGGTATGCCGCTAGGGAAGTCAGAAATGGAGAAAGATTTGGGGGTCATTGTAGACCACAAACTGAAAGGTAGCTTGCAGTGCCAGGCTGCTGTAAACAAAGCTAGCAGGGTTTTGTCCTGCATCATAAAGGGTATCTATTGCAGGGACGAGTCTATAATTTTGCCACTTTATAGATCATTGGTTCGACCTCATCTGGAGTACGCGGTCCAGTTCTGGTCACCAGTACTAAGAACAGATGTCCATGAGCTGGAAAAAGTCCAGCGGAGGGCAACCAAACTAATTAGGGGTATGGAGGACCAGAGCTACGAGACAAGGCTACTAAATTTAAACATCTTCACATTAGAGGTGAGGAGATTAAGGGGGGATATGATCTCCATGTACAAAATGTTCAATGGTGACAGCAACATTGGCGATAAACTATTTAAAATTAACTCCGTTACAAAAACTAGAGGCCACCACCTAAAATTGGCGGAAAAAAAATTCCAGCACAAGGGGCGAAGGGGGTTCTTCACAGTTAGAGCGGTTAAGGTCTGGAACTCACTGCCACAGGCGGTGATTTCAGCAAAAAACTTGGAATTGTTCAAGAAACTTTTGGACGATTTTTTAAGGGACCGTAATATACAGGGGTACAGGTACTCCTAAAAACAAGATCCTATAGGTTGGACTTGATGGACTAATGTCTTTATTCAACCTCAAATATTATGTAACTATGTAACTATGTAACAAAAGGGTGAAGAGTGTGGAGAAGACAGGAGAAGTGAACAATCTAGGACAACATAGCTGATTTGGAAATCAGCTCACTTTCCATTTCAGCTATGTTGTCCTAGATTGTTCACTTCTCCTGCGTTCTCCAAACTATTCACCCTTTAGTGAATAACCCTGTAAATGTGAGATTGTACTTTATCATGGGAGTGAGCTTAGAGCGGTGGCTAGTTTACAACACACACAGGGACCATGGGGAACAAAAGTATTCACCCTCCAGAAGAAAGGACAGTGTCAGCACCATTTCAGAGATGATTTGAGTATACACACATAAGATAAATGTTTGCTAATAGTGAAGGTACTTGAATGCATTTTAAGATTGAAGATTAAATTGTCACTTTAATATTGTAATTATTATTATTATTATACAGGATTTATATAGCGCCAACAGTTTGCGCAGCGCTTTACAATATAGGGAAGACATTACAATCACAATACAAATCAAGACAAGATGGTAAGGAGGGCCCTGCCCCTGAGGGCTTACAATCTTGTAATATACATAAACTTGCTTGGATAGGCCCACTTCTCCACTCTTTTTTTATTTTTGTTTTTTATTTTTTGCCTTTTTTATTTTAATTTAGGGCTATCTAATGTTATGATAACAACAATTATATTCATATTACATATCAGTGGGCTGAAACAAAGTGATTTAAAACAGCGGCAAAATTAACAAAATGCTTACCCCAGTTTTCTTATCTGATTTCTGCACAGTATAACCTGTAATTTCTGCATTTCCATTATCCTGAGGAGGTGTCCATTCAAGAGCTGCATTGAAGCCCCATACATCCACCAGCTTAATGCTCTTGGGGGGGCCAGGCCGTTCTTAAAAGAAGCAAAGACATGTTTGAGGCTGCAATCATTTTTCTCTTACAGTGTAGTTCACAAGACCCAAATCACCACACTACTTTTAACCCTTTCATGACACTTTCATGAAGGAACGTATAAGATTTAACTCCTGGGTTTAGTGTTATTTTATTTTGGCACCAGACTAGAATATTAATTAGGCTACAATCTAGTACAGGGTACTTGCAGGACCATTCCTACAATGAGGCAGCCTGAGTCTGTTGCCTCATGTGGCATCTCTTTAGGGTCACGTGGTGGGGTGGAAGGCAGAGCGGCATGGCCACGCAGCCGAAACATGTCTGCAGTGGGCCTGCCATCCCCTTTATGGCCAGAGCATCCTAGATTGCTGAGAGCAGGGTGGGGAGAAGTGTAAGAACGGGGGTGGGAAGATTATGCATATCCCTCCACAGTGTACACCCACCGGCTGCCTCAGGTGGTTCAAATGCTAGTGACGCCCCTGAGAACTTGCAATAGCATCCTGAAATTCACAAATGTTTCACAGAGTTGACGCGTAGATTCGCAAATTAGGAAGTGACACGCCACTTACAAAACTTGATCCGCAACAAGAAGATTATATACTGTCAATGTTTTGCAAACTGTGAAAAAGTGTTCCCTACTGTTTATTTATTTAGTTATTTTGGAACATTAAAGGCTTTCTTTTTGGGGATATTGCCTTGCCATTTTGTTCATTTTCTATTAACTCTATAGCCCAAAAAAGTGACAAAACTAAAAAAACTAGTGTCACTGTAAATACAAAGTATACATTTTAGATTTTATTCCGTAATTTGGTTATAATGATACTAAAATCATAATGCTGGTACAAAGAACTGCAAAATGATTTAGAAATTAAATAAAGGTTTTTTTCTTTCAATTTTGCGCATCACTAAAAAAAAATTATGAGAAAAATGAATGAAAAAAAGTTTAAATATTATTGGTTTAAAAAGTGAAATAAAAATAAATCATCAGAAAAATAACAGTTAAGGGGACAAGAGGAGGCACTAGATCAGGGGTGGGCAACTCTCTGTTGTGCCTTAACTACAAATGCCAACACGCCTCTGCCTTTTGCTGTCATCCCTGTAACTGTCAATTTTGCAATGCCTCATTGTACTTGTAGTTCCACTACAGCTGGAGGCCCGGAGTTGCCCATCCCTGTACAAGATATTTGGGGATTATTAGGGTAAACTTAAATAGAAACAATTTGTTATTTTACAAATTATTTTTTTTAACTGGTAATATTGCTTTAACTGACATTATATGCAGGTTAAAGGTCACCCCTTTGATCTGCAGATTAATTTAATGGAGTAAATACCATGTAACAATAATGTTGTAACATGCTATTTCTAAATGAGGCTTCTGAACAGTGTTCAATCCCAGCTGCAGCATTATTTTGACAGCCAAGATTTGCTGGCAAGAGTGAGGGATAGGAGCAGCAGTGGTGGAGGAAACCTGGCATAAGCTATATAATAAAAATTCACAGCAATTTAATGTAACAACACACACACATTTATATATATATATATATATATATATATATATATTTCTCGGCATGAAAAAAAAGTGTATGCACCTGGGAGCCTGTTGGGTGATTTAATTTGTTTTACAGTACATGGTCAAAACACTCTTGTTGCAACAGTAGATTTAGATTGATCTAGAAGCACATGCAAAACATTAACCCTCTTTAACAGCTTTTATGTACCCTATAATTCACCCTTCAGCTCCAGTCGGGGAATCAAAGACAGGTCTTTAGTGATTTTGTTCAATACACGTGGATTAATTTTTTTTTAAATACACAAAAAATATTTAAATGAACAATATTTAACAATGGAGCTTCAAATTTGCAAACAAAATCTGTTTTCAAATGTTGAACAAGACAAGTGTAAAGTGATGTATTTAAAGTGTAGCTATACCTCCATGTTTTGTGTGGATAGAATGGGGAAAGGTTAGAAGGCCTCCTGCTCTCTAGCTCCCTTGTCAACTCCTCCCATGCTCGCCTACAGGACTTCTCTAGAGTCTCCCCCATTTTTTGGAACTCCTTACCCCAACCTGTCCGTTTTTCGCCCACTCTGACTGCCTTTAGGCGATCCCTTAAGACTCATCTCTTCAGGGAAGCCTATCCCACCTCAAACTAACCACTGAAATATCATGTTCTCAAACAATTCATCCCCACACAGCTACCTCCTCTTGTATCACTTGCCCCTCCCTCTTAGATTGTAAGCCCTCAGGGGCAGGGCACTCCTTACCATCTTGTCTTGAATTGTCTTGTAATTGTAATGTCTTCCTTATATTGTATAGCGCTGCGCAAATTGTTGGCGCTATATAAATACTGTATTATAATCATAATAATAATAATGACGTAAAGAAGAACATTAACCTGGCAAAAGACAAGGCCAAATGGACAGCCAAGTTCCAAGTGGTTGCAAGTTTGAAGTTTAATAAAGACTACAAGCAATTATGGTAATAGGATATCTGCTCATTAAAGTAGTATTAAACTCTTTTTTCTAAATAATGATTCCAAATCAAAGAAATAAACATTGCCCAGCAAAGCATTGCTTTACATTTTTTCCCCAAACACCTATATAAATCCTGTATTATAATAAAAAGAATAATCCCTGTCAGGTTTTATTACTATCCCCCTAACTTTCTGTCGTGTAGACAAACTTATACCAGGCTTTTATAAACTTTTACTGCAACAAGGAAACACAAAAATCAAAAAGAGTTTTTAGCATTCCCCAACTTAACTTAAAATCAGTTTTACTTTTGTCTGTGTTTCTGTTAGAGAGAGTTCCCCTCACTTGTCCTGGGAACAACCTTTGTACCAGACATGAAGTGAAAGAACATCTCCAATGGGACCTGCATCTACAGTAAAATCTGACATGTTCTAATCCTTCCTCCACTCCATCCAAAACTAAAATAAAAAAAACCTTTTGCATATACAGTAGATACACTTTAACAGTCATTCCCTTGTTAGTGTGACTGGATATAGAATTGACATGATGAAAATACTCCCATTACAGGTCTACATGATTATCTTGGATTTGGGGCTTATTACAAATCATTACTTATGTAATAATATTCATTTTCACACATTTTTTTGTCAGCATATTTTGGTTATAGCAATGTACTAGAATTTTTGTTTGCATATACTGCATGATCACCCACAATATAAGATTACATTTTCCCAATAATTACCAGCAATTTGTATGTCAATCTTGGCTTTATCCTGCAGGTCATCAATTTTAACTAAGACCTCATATGTTCCAGAGTCTTTTCGTTCAGCTTTGCGAATAAAAAGAATAGTATCGCTTTCACTATTCCTGACACTCGCTTGTTTGGGGTCCAAGGGCTGTCCATTTTTAGTCCATATAACTTGAGGCTTTGGCTTACCCTTTAGGAAAGACAAATATTGTATTAGGAAAACAGTATAAGTGGAATAAAACGACAACTAGAAGATCATCTTGTAGTGAGGAAGTTTAGGGTCATCTATCAATGTTATAATATTTTTGATATACTTTTTTGTATCCTTATTGGGGAGACTTCCCCTCATTCCTGTCCAGGTGAAAGAAAGTGACAGGCAGACACAGATTTATTAAAGGAGTGAATTTTAACATCAATTATACAATCGTGTGTATAGATAAGATAAATAGATTGTGGTGGGTAAGGCCTCTTTCAAATGGCCGCCTTCAGTTCTGATCAAGAGGGAATCCAAGCATGGATCTCCAGGTGGGGTCCTAATTTAGCTGGCCGGTGACTGCCTGAGGTGCCGCACGTGTCGGGATCCTCTGGCAGTCGCCGGCCAGCTAAATTAGGACCCCACCTGGAGCTCTTCCCACTGGACCAGCGCTGACTCACCGCTGCTCTCCCGCACCGAAGGTAAGTGAAAAAAAAAAACATAGCGCAAACATCGGGGCATTTTGACAAGTACTTGTCGAAATGCCCTGTTTTTTCCGCCCTCACACTGCAGCGCTGTCAGGAGGCCGCCTGACTTGACTTGCGGTAGCGCCGGGCCTGTGTGTAAACTATTTTTTAAATTCTTTTTCAATATAGGACTATTTTCACTGCTGTAATTTGATTGTAATTTTCTGTTACCTGCTATGTTGGTGATTGTTTAAATAAAGAATAAAAAAATAAAATGGACATGGGATTTAACATACTCACAGACTGTATATATCTATGAAATGTTAATGTTATTGTTATCTCAGTACTTTAAAAATTGGATTTCTTTAACCACCTGCTGTCCATTGTAATTAAACGGCCGGACAGCGTCTTCTTGAATGCGTGTGGGCGTTTTTAAACGTCCCATCCCGCCCCGCTCATGCCCGTCGCTGGAGACCCAGACTGTTATGCTCTGTGTTAAGCACTGGATCGGCTCTCCAGTGTGCTGTCAGAACAAGGTATTTGAGCTAGCTAAAGCTCCGCTCTAGCTAAAAACTAGCTAAAGTATACTACTTCATTAAAAGTATATTTTAAAATGCCCACATCTATTACAGTTTATGCAAACTAACTGCATTACAGTAATCAAACCAGAAGCTTTAATTTCTTGTAAATTTGTCCCATTATATAGTACACATAAAAAAGCAAAATTACCTGGAAAGGAATAACAAGATTCACAGCCTCTCCAACTTGCCTCACAAATGTTTGACGCAGGTTTCTTGGGAGACGGATTTTGGGGCGATCTATAACACAAACATTTTAAACTATTTTTATTAAAATAACAAAAAATGTTGTTATTAATTAATCTAATAAATTAAAACAATATTCAAGACGACAAGAAGGTGCCTCCTCAACAGATACTGTATATACTGTACGATGTTCTAATAAATGAACGCTCTGACCAAGGATTATACATTGATACAACCAGAATTCTCCTTGTTGTATTTCAGAACTTCTCCCAACCTGTTTAAGGCCTGCTACCTCAGAAATAAAATGTTTTCCTAATTTGCAAATTTTGAAGGGATTATTTTTGGATTCCAAATTTTTCCTTTCTCCTTTCCCTCATTTTCTTGATAGGCTGGAACGCTATCATAGTGATAAAGCATATATGCAGTATTTTGTAAGTTTAAAGTGACACTAAACCCAGGAGTTAAATCTTAAAAATGCTTTCAAGTACCCTAACTATTAACAATAATGTAACTTAATTGTGCATCACTCAGCTGTAGATCCTCAAAATTTGTGCTGACACTGTCTTTCCTTCTGGTGGGTGGCTACTTTTGTTCCCCATGTTCCCTGTGTGTGTTGTATAGTAGCCACCCCTCCAAGCTCACTCCCATGAAAGGCTATCAGGGTTATTCACAAAAGGGTGAAGAGTGTGGAGAAGGCAGGAGAAGTGAACAATCTAGGACAACATAGCTGATTTGGAAACATTCTCCAATTCAGCTCACTTTCCAGTTCAGCTATGCTGTCCTAGATTGTTCACTTCTCCTGCCTTCTCCAAACTCTTCACACTTTTGTGAATAACCCTCTATAACTTCAATACAAATTAGCTAACTAAAAGTGAGATGGTAGTCCATTATGGGAACAAGCTTGGAACGGTGGCTACTTTACAAAACACACACAGGGACCATGGGGAACAAACGTTGCCAGCCTCCAGAAGGAAGGACAGTGTCAGCAACAATTCAGAGATGATTTGAGGATCTACAGCTAAGTGATACACAAATAAGATACATTTTTGTTAATAGTTGAGGTACTTGAATGCATTTTTAAGATTCAACTCCTGAGTTTCGTGTCACTTTAAGTTGATTTATACCTACAGTCCTTAAAATAGTTAGGAGCAAGCATGCAAGTTATTTGCAGTTTAAGCAGAGCTCCCATCTTATTTCTCTTACTGCGTGATGCCAAAAATACATTTTGCAAGGCATGCAATGTGAATCCATCACTCAAGGATTCAGTCTGATGATGTATGCCATACAATTAAATATTTTGTACTAAAATTAAATTTATAAACAGTGTTCATTCAATAAGGCAACATAAAAAGGATAATTTACAAACTGTACATATTGGACAAACATAATTATAGTGTCCTGTGATTCAATAAAAAAAAACTATCTAAGCTACCGTCATGGAAATACTACATTTGAGCCAGATTGACTGTTTTTGAACCACAAGGATGAATTATAAGGCTGCACAAATCATTTCTGTCCTTAGGAAACCTTTCTAGTAAACACCTGCATTAAAACGTGGTTATATCCTTTCACATTTTATCCCAAACCTGTAAAAGCATTTCCTCCCATGCATGTATATTGTTTGCTGGCTAGTTGTAATCAGTAAAGTGTAGTCTTTCTGATATAGATTCCCCTCTGCTGCAGACACAGGTATGCAACAGCTAAGTAATTGTGAGTTCTCCAATCATCAAGAAATAATTTTCTGTTCACACCTCTATCAATATTGCTAAAAGAAAAAAAACACCAGTTTTTTGTCAATTTTTTAGTTACAGCTGACTGCAGAATTATGAATGATGAATGAACAATGCCTGACTTAAATAATGGCATTAATACTGGCAATGACCTTTTTAAATAAAAAATGCATGACACACAAAAACAGGTCCATATGTGCCCATCAATTGATCCAGCTAAAACTGTATAATAAGCATACTAACAGAGAAATAATGGAGTGTCCCACTTTGGAAACCTCTGCAGTCTGGCAGTATTACCAATAAAAAGGGGTCATCACCTTGAGATACATAGTCACATAGTTTTGAAAAAAGATCATGGAGTTCAACCGATACATAAAAAAAAAAAAAAAACAAGAGGGATTAATAAATAGAAAAAAAAATCCATTAACTAAATCCTATACCAACAGATGATCCAAAGGAAGGTGAAATAAAACCATAAAGCGTGGCCCAATGTGCTCCAACAAGTGAAAAAATCCTTTCCAAGCTCCATGGAGGTTGTAGTTTGAGCTGTCTTGGAATCTACTGGTCTCTGCTGAGCCTCATAACAAAAGCAGATTGTTAATGACAAACAATGTAGTTGAGCAGTCCTAGTACAAGAGGATTTCTACTACATAAAAGTAGAAAACCTGTTTAATCAAATATGTTCCCTACATCCAATAGGCTGATAGTATGAGCAGGGGATATCTTGTAAATCTTCTCCATTTAATACTGCAGTAGTTACTAAAATTGTGGAGGCCACTGTATATATCAGTTATAAGTTCTTACATTACATTAAGGGTACATGGTCAACACCTTTCCATTTTTTTTTCATAAAATCAAATTTTAACTTCACAAACCTGAGTTGGTATATGTAATAAATGTTTTACATGGTAGATAATTCTCATGACAAATCTGTGTTGGTCATTCAAATAAACTGTTAGAAACCCGATCCTGGCAGTACAGTTACTTTCTCCATGTGGTATGTCCTGTGGGCGTCCAACTATTTTTTACACTGCTACACTTGTCAGTAGGTAATTTGGGTCTGAATACCTTTAGCTGTCGCGTATTAACCAAAGTTATTTTGTTGATTTATTCATTACTAATACAAATATTGTATATTATTATGGATCACAATTAAATGAATATGGCATACAAAGTTGTGGAGGAGAAAGGTTTTAAGAGGTAGTATGGTCTAAGTGAAACGTGATATCAGGAGCTGTAAAATCAATAAACAGCTAGGGCATATTCACACATATGCACTGCACTGCAGTAACTGGTGCTGAAATGTGTGATATCACAATGTACAAATGTACACCTGCTCTATGTGTGGTGCATTGCAGTGCCTTTCATTGTCAAAGGCACCCCAGCACATTGTACAGTAGAGGATAATTTACATTGTCCCACATCACATCACAGCACACATACCGTGCATTGCAGAAAGAGTATCAGGTGCGTTTATCCATCCATTATGGTGTGTTGGCAGCCCATTCATAATAAATGGGCTGCCTCAACACAATGCACACGAAAATATTACTGAACACGAACGGCACCATAATGGATCATTAAAATATGAATCGGACTGTAAGTTGTATGCAAAAATATATTTTTTTATTTTTGGATAGGGTAGAAAGGGATTAAATTATTATTATTATTATTATACAGGATTTATATAGCACCAACAGTTTGCGCAGCGCTTTACAATATAGGGCAGACATTACAATCACAATACAATTCAAGACAAGATGGTAAGGAGGGCCCTGCCCCTGAGGGCTTACAATCTAAAAGACCATCATTAAATCACCATCAGTATAAATAATAGCAAGCCCATTGCTGACCCCCTTCTTGAAAATAAGGACACTTGTCCCAAGAATCATGTCTGTATCCGGTTAGGGATATTGCCCTGCACTTTATGTACTTATAGCACAAAAACTGAGAGAAAATATCTACTCTCTAATCTCTACTCTACCCTTTAAGTATGGGTGACTCCCCTTTTATTATTATTATTATAATAATACAGGATTGATATAGCGCCAACAGTTCGTGCAGTGCTTTACAATATAAGACATTACAATCACAATACAAATCAAGACAAGATGGTGAGGAGGGCCCTATCTGTGAGGGATTACAATCTAAAAGGCAGGGGCAAGTGATACATGAGGAGGGAGCTGTGTTTTAGACAGTTGTCACCGGAACAAGTGTCCCTATTTTCAAGAAGGGTGTCAGCAATGGCCCTCTATTATTTCAAGACAGGTTTGGCAAGGGGTAAGATGGTCTCAGGTGTTGCTAGTGGCTAGTCTGCTGGAGGTGTAGGCTGCTTTATAGCATATAACAGTCTAAACGACATGTGTGACTTCTTATGATGTATGGCAAGTTCTCAAAAGACAAGCTGCAGAAAGGTATCTAATTGGGTGCATCTGTCAGCTTGCTATTAAACACAAGCTGTCTCCTTGGTATGTCTGTGTCCATCCTGCTGACCATGGGGACTTCTAAAATTAGAGGCTTTAGTTTCACACATCTCTCCTTGTAAAGGGAATCCCAAATCTGTGAGTCCGCTAGGATGTGCATAGCTACTATTTCATTAGTTTATGTTATTATTCTAGTGGCAAATTAGGAGGAAATACATTCAATTAAATGTAGATGACATCAATAAACGCTGTACTGAAAACAGGTCATCACTAATATTGTGCTATTGCAATAATCATTTATCATTGCAAAGTGTTTAAGTTTCCAAAATGCATTATTATATATTTATTAGTAAAACACCCCAGAAAATGATATGATGATTTCCCAGACTGTGTGCATTTTGTATTTTATGGCAGGGGTCTCAAACTCAATTCATTTGGGGTCCACTGGCACATTTTCTTCTCCCATGGGGGCCACTTGCCAAATTTCATAAAATGCCATCCATACTTCAAAATATAATGTAACTATATACGGTACCAGTGCTAATGTCTGTGTGTGTTTTTAAGTCAGTATATGTGTTTGTGATGGTTTCTTTGTATGCAGCGTCAGTATTTTTTGTGTGTGATGCTTTGTGTGTATTGTCCCAATTTCTGTGAGTGATGTCGATATGTGTGTTAATGTTTCTGTGTGTGTCATATCAGTATGTATACATGTGTATATGTGTACAGTGTCAGTATATGTTTGTGTTTTTCCCCCACAGGTTTTAATTTTAATCATAGAGGACCAACAGATTCACACATTCACTCACACACAGAAATACACACATATGCACACACACACAAAAATACGCACACACACACACAGAAATCCAAATACACACACCCCCACACATATACAGAAATA